GCGCGGCGCCGGGAGGAGGCGCAGGCGGCGGGGGCGGCGGCGGGCGGCGGCGGGCGCGCGGGGTGCGGGCCGGCTCGGGCGCGGAGGATGAAGTGGAGCGTCCGCGGGGCCTGCGCCGCGCTCTCCTCCTGCCTCCTGCTCGCCTGCGCGCTCAGCGCCGCCGCCGTCGGCCTCAAGTGCTTCTCGCTGGGCTCGGAGCTGCGCGGGGAGCCGTTCCGCCTGGGGGCCGCCGCCGGCGCCTTCTACTCGGGGCTGCTGCTGGCCGCCGGCCTCTCGCTGCTTGGCGCCGCCCTGCTCTGCTGCGGGCCCCGGGAAGCGCCCCTCGCGGGGCCGGAGCCGGGCCCGGGTCTGGGGGTCCCCGCGGCCTCCGCGGGAGCTGCCGAGGCCGCGCCGGGTGAGCCGGGGGCCGCGGCCGGGGCCCCGGGCCCGGTGAGCAGCCAGAACCTGCTCCTGCTCGGCGTCCTCGTCTTCATGCTCGGGGTCCTCAGCGCCTTCGCGGGCGCAGTGATCGACGGCGACACGGTGTCGCTGGTAGAGCGCAAGTACTCGCACTACTGCCTGCCCCCGCGGGCGTCCGGCTCGGCCCCACCCGGCGCGGCCCCGGGTTCGGCCCCCGGCGCGGCCCCCGGCGCCCCGCGTTCCCGCAGCACCCTGGACAGCGCCACGTCCGCCAAGTGCCGGCAGCTCAAGGACTACCAGCGCGGCCTGGTGCTCTCCACCGTCTTCAACTCGCTCGAGTGCCTGCTGGGCCTGCTCAGCCTCCTGCTGGTCAAGAACTACCGGTCGTCTCAGGCCCGGCGCGGTCGGCGCGGACGGCGGAGGGGAGGCCGGGCCCTGGCGCGGCCCCGCGGTGGCTCCGGGCTCCGCGCGCAGCCGCCCGCCTCTCGGGCGCGCCGGGGCCGGAGGGGCCGGCGGGGGCGGCGGCTGCAGCCGCGGCCGAGCGAGGCCTCCATCCTGTCCCCGGAGGACTCGGACCTGGCCGCCCCCGGGGACTGCGCGGGCTTCGCGGCGCACCACGCGGTCTCCTACATCAACGTGGGCGTCCTCCACGCGCTGGACGAGGCGGGCGCGGAGGTGCGCTGCGGGGGGCACCCGTCGGTGGAGCTGCCGGGGTACGCGCCCTCGGACCCCGACCTCAACGCCTCTTACCCCTACTGCTGCCGGCCGCCCTGCGAGACGCCGCGGCCCTGGGAGACCAGCCGGGCGGCCTGCTGAGCCCGCGGGACGGACCCCCACCCCGCGCCCCGCTCAGGACCCCCGCGGAGAGGGAGGACGGGCGGCGGGGCGGGGGCCCGGGCCAGGCCTCAGGGTCGCCGCCTCTTCCACGTAGCCCCTCTGCGGGGCTCCGTGACCACAGGAGGGGGTCCCTGGTGTGACCATTTCTGTATCGGGGAGGTTTCTCTTCTTATCTGTGTCGTTCATATCTGGACTCCATTTCCAAGTTTACAATAAATGTTTGGGCTTGACTGGCCCGACTGCACTTTTCTTGGCAAGTCCAAACCCTGGGGCGGCTCTGCCTGGTGGTCCGAGGCGAGGGGGACGGAGCGAGCGCCCGCCCCGGGACGGCGACTTCCCGCGGAGGAAGAGCGCGCCGCCGACAGGACAGAGACGCAAAGCAGCTGGTAATTCAGGAAAGAAGAAGTGAAAACACCCAACAGCAACACTTTGTACACGGATGTGCCTGCTTTTGTTGATACTTTCTTACTGTAAAGCTCTCCATAAACAGTGAAAATGTTTGGTAAATTTATTGCAATTTAAAATTGGTGAGTTCCTTTATTAAATTAATGGCTATGTTATTGGAGATTATGCATCGAATTGGAATTAGAGGATGTCTACACACAAGTCAGAGTGGGGGGAAATGGTTGCATTTGGTCGGACAAATGTTGAGTTGTTTGAACAGTTGTATTCTGCTAGCTAGTTGACTGGATCCAACCTCTTTCTGAAGCTAACTTTCTGTGTGTGCAGAGACACTGATGCCACGTCCCATACAGTTCTCTTTTTGGAAACTGGTTGTGTGGTTTCGACTGCAAAGCAGAGCTTATTTTTGGTTAATACATATGAACAATCTAATCCTATTTTGGAAAATCAGTCATAGTTTTTCTGGCATAGATAATTTTCTTGGTAACTCATTAATCTGGTAATTTTGAGTATGATAGCCTTTCATTTAAAATGTACCCCATAATAGCCTTAATTGATGTGAAGGTCATACTTTTAAATGATCAGGATATGTGTGTGTGTATTTTCACACATGATATGAAATGAGTTCCATATGCTGGTGGAGTGTGTTTCCATCTGTCTGAGGGTTTGGCTGGGAGCCAGGCCAGCTCCAAGTCTTGGGAAAAGGTGATCTCACAGCTGGGAGCAGAGCCACAGCCTGGTGGAAAAGATGTGTACCTCTTGCTGGGGGAGCGGAGGCAGCCGGTGCTCTGCGGGGTGAGTGCCAGCTCAGAGCAGTTAGGAGAGAAGCTACAGAAACCACGTGTAATATCTGTATTGTGTACAGAAGTCTACTAATAGCAGGAAAAAGTAGCCAAATTTAAGGATAGAGCATAGTTTTCAGCTGCAGGCTCTGGAGTGAGGCCTCTCCTCAGCCCCTAGTTGCCCAAAGCCAGAGCTCTCTGTATCCCTGGTGACCAAGGCTCATCCCAGCTGGCCCCTGGCTGGGCTGCCCTGCTGCTGCAGAGGCCACAAGAGGGAGGAGGCTTCAGCTCCATTTCATGATGAGAAGTGAGACCTGTCACCATTCAGAGGGCTGATCTCCAGAGCTGGCAAACCTGTGCCTGCTGATGCCTGCTCAGTCACTGCGAAGCTCAGGCCAGTGTCCTCTCCTTGCTATGTGGACGCTGCTGGAGGACAAAGAATCACTCACAGCCAGTTTCCTAGGTTTTCATCCTCAGGCCTCTTCAGATAGCGGCCCATGATAGGCATCCCTGAGTGGTAGAGTGAGAGAGGAGGTCCAGCCAGACAGAGGACATGACCTGATTGGTCCCTGTTGTCCTCAAGGCCCAGTCCTCTCCTGCCTCAGGACAACCAGCCCAGCAGTCACCAACCTAAGCAAAACTGTGATCGCTGGCAGACTGTGATCGCACTGTGACTTTTAAGATCCTTCCCTCTGTCTGCCTGCATCCAATCAGCACGGCATAGCCAGGGGCCTCCTGCTTCCTAAGCAGAGGCCTCTCAGGTGGCTGCAAGGCCAGCCTTCCAGAGCTACACAGCAGGGGCAGCCAGGTGGGTCTCCTGGGGGTGGGCACTTGGTGGCTCCCTACAGAAGGCTGCCAGGCACTGCCCTGGCAGGAGCAAATGCATGGGCAGCACGGATGCAAAAAGTCAAACCTCCTGTGTGCTTTTTGTTTTCCAAGGTGTTTAGTCTTAATTGTTTTGTACAGCTTAAAATGTTAGATGCCTTATGAGTCTTTCAAATTTGTGATCAAGATCAGTGACCTCTCTAAAGTGTCAGGCGTTTCTTGGGACAAAACAGAAGGTAGAACATAGTTGGGGGCAGAGGCCACAGCCAGGAGCAGGTTGCACACCCTCCTGTGCCCTTGGGCATACCCTCCTGTCCCTGCGTGCACACCCACATATCACCACATGCACACCCTCCTGTTATGTGCATACCCCTGTCACTGTATGCACACCAATCCTATCCCTGCATGCACACCCTCCTGTCACTGTGTGCACACCCACCCTGTCCTGCATGCACAACCTCCTGTCACTGCGTTCTCACCGTCCTGTCACTGCATGCACACCCATCCTGTCCCTGCGTGCACACCCATCCTGTCCCTGCTTGCACACCCTCCTGTCCCTGCGTGCACACCCACCCTGCCCTGCATGCACAACCTCCTGTCACTGCATGCTCACCCTCCTGTCACTGCATGCTCACAGTCCTGTCACTGCGTGCACACCCATCCTGTCCCTGCACACACAACCTCCTGTCACTGTGTGCTCACCATCCTGTCACTGCTTGCACACCTGTCCTGTCACTGCATACACACCCATCCTGTCCCTGCACGCACAACCTCCTGTCACTGCATGCTCACCATCCTGTCACTGCTTGCACACCCTCCTGTCACTGTGTGCTCACATTCCTGTCACTGCATGCACACCTGTCCTGTCACTGCGTACACACCCATCCTGTCCCTGTATGCACACCCTCCTGTCACTGTGCGCTCACACTCGTCACTGTGTGCTCACACTCCTGTCACTGCATGCACACCCTCCTGTCACTGTGTGCTCACACTTGTCACTGCGTGCACGCCTGTCCCTGTGTGCACACCCTCCTGTCACTGCATGCACACCCCGTCAATGTGTGCTCACACTCCTGTCCCTGCATGCACACCCTCCTGTCACTGTGCCTCACACTCCTGTCCCTGCATGCACACCTGTCCTGTCCCTGTATGCACACCTTCCTGTCACTGTGTGCTCACACTCCTGTCACTGCATGCACACCCTCCTGTCACTGTGTGCTCACACTTGTCACTGCGTGCACGCCTGTCCTGTCCCTGTGTGCACACCCTTCTGTCACTGCATGCACACCCCCCTGTCAATGTGTGCTCACACTCCTGTCCCTGCATGCACACCCTCCTGTCACTGTGTGCTCACACTCCTGTCACTGCATGCACACCTGTCCTGTCCCTGTGTGCACACCCTCCTGTCCCCTTGTGCACCTGCCTGGCCTGGGTAGCAGAAAAATCCAGGAGTGCACAAAGACCCAGCTGGGGCAAACTGGCCTTTTCCATGTGACCAGAAAGTTAGATGAGTTGTTTTAAGATTGAGTGTCCCTAGCTCCAGGACTATTCTTAGTTCCACTGTCATAGGTGTTCGTGTGCTGATGTGGAATACCCAGGTTTGATTTTTTTTTAAATTTACCGGAGAAAATAGAATCCCACATACTCCTAAACTCAAATTGCCCCAAAGATCAATTCTCAGGGAAATGAGTGGACCATCATGAAGACATCAGCCTTCCTTCCTAGTTACCACTGACTTACTGGTTACTGCTGTAGCACTGAACACTGAGGTTATCCAGCTCACAGCAGCAATTTCATGCATGTTCATCCTACCTTTTTAAAACTTGAAGTTAATGGTTGAGAGTGGGTTCTTTGTGCTACTTGCAAAATAATGTCAGTTCTCGGACCTCTCTCTCTCTCTCTCTTTCTTTCTCTCTTTTTAGATGGAGTCTCACTCTTGTTGCCCAGGCTGGAGTGCAGTGGCATGATCTTGGCTCACCGCAACCTCTGCCTCCTGGATTCAAGCGATTCTCCACCCTCAGCCTCCCAAGTAGCTGGGGTTACAGGCACCCATCACCACGCCCAACTAATTTTGTATTTTTAGTAGAGACAGGGTTTCACCATGTTGGCCAGGCTGGTCTCAAACTTCTGACCTCAGGTGATCCAACCGCCTCAGCCTCCCAAAGTGCTGAGATTACAGGCATGAGCCACCACACTCAGCCAGTTCTTGGACTTTTCTAAAAATGAGTCGTATTCTGCTTCCCTGTGAAGAGTTTATTATGACGATGAGATAAAGAATTAAACAAATTTTAGCATTTTTACATGAAAAAATGCTGAGTTTGTAAGTTACTGTTTTAAACACAAAGCTGTGATTTGGCTCAGCGGTAGGAGCTCGCAGCTCATGTGGCTGGCTAGGTGTTGACTTTAAGGGATAACTTAGCAGAGGCAACACATGATGTCGTGTGCAGAATGGGCAGCATGGTCGCCAAGCAAGCCATGTGTTTTAAGATCAATGAATGGAGCTCCCAGGGCCTCAGATATCTGAGGTTGAACATCTTTCCTTGATTTTTGACTGAAAATTCAATTAAACAATCATTTATCTCTAAATATTGGTCAGACGCTCGTTTGTTGTGAATATCAAACTGAATTTGATGAAAATTTTTACTCCTGGTTGGTGTCCTGATGCAGTTCAGGAGGAAGCCATGACTGTATATATGCACACACGGGTGCATGCTTGTGTGCGTGCATGTATGTCTACCTGTATATATGAGCACGTGCTCACACACGTGCACACACACCATACACTTGCACATACACAGGTGCATGCTTGTGCATGTGCATGTATGCATACATGTATATGTCAACACGTGCTCACACACATGCACACACACAGTACACCTGCGCATACACAGGTGCATGCTTGTGCATGTGCATGTATGCATACATGTATATATGAACACGTGTTCACACACATGCACACACACAGAGTACACCCACACATACACACATGGGTACATTCTTGTGTGTGTGGATGTATGCATGTATGTATATATAAACTTGTGCTCACACACATGCACATGCACACACAGTACACCTGCACATACACACATGGCTGCACACTTGTACATGCACACGCATGGCCTCCTGGGTAGTATCTGAGAGCCAGGCCAGCGGCCCTGCCTGGAGCATCCAGGATGCAAGAGGAACCTGTCCAGGGCATTGTGGCCTGGCTGTGGACCGGCATAAGCGCTAAAGGAGCATGTCCCTGGGAGGGCGCCCTGTCAGTGATGAGCTGTGTTAACGTTCCCTGAACGCTCCGTCCTGTCCGTGTGGTAGAAGGCTAATGGGGCAGCCATCACTTGTGGGCCAGCACAGCATGATGGAACAGTTCAGGGAGGACGCTGGAGTTCAGGTGAGCAGTGGGTGGAGGATGCAGAGAGGCAGGTGAGCCAGGAGGAGTTTCTAGGCCATGAGGCCGGTCCATGGTGCTCACACACTGCTACGCTGGACTCTGGTGCTGACCAGGCCAGCACCCCGTGTCACCCTCAGGCCCAGCTCTTTGCTGAGTGGTGTGGTGCCCTTCAGTGCCCTCAAAGTCATCATTACCCCAAATCATTATTTTTCTCACTAAGATACGAGAGAAAATTTCTAAAAGGCAGAAACTTTAAGAAAACTGAATTCCAGGATTTAAATAAGTATATGCTGTTTGTGTGCTTATGTACCTGCCTTTTCAAATGAGGCAGAGGCAGTGGCCTGACGGCAGCTGCTTCAGTTTCTCAGTGGCCCGGTGCCTTTGCTTAACTTGCTGCCTTCCAGCATGTAATAGAAAAACAGCAACAAAATGGAAGAAGAAAATAATGTAGGAAATGAGTGTGCAAATATCATTATGTCCCCACAGGTAGATTCTCCTGAGGACTTCTTGGGGTGGCAGCAGAAACCCTGAGGGCTCCATGATGGAACCTGGTCC